GGTTTAGGGTTTAGGGTTTGCGCATATTGATCCTTGTTTAACTACAAAGGGAACACCATGTATTTCAACGAGGGAGTTTGTTCCATTCAAGGCTGCTCATAGGTAATATAAGGGCCTTAATAATTACCTATAGTAGTTTGGAGGTTCCTTATTATGATTATGGTAAAATGGGCCCCAAAACCTTTTTCTGATTTTTTTAAGGCCCCGAAACCCTGAACCCTTATAGTAGCCCTTATCGAACACTTTAAGGAGCCCTATAAAGCAACCCCTCAGACCCTATTCTAATTATTAAGGCCCCTATACTAACAGCAGAACCTCTGCACGCAAGGGGTTTTCCGACCTCGCGATGCCTGGAGGCCCAACCCCCCAAAGCAAACCCTGAGCCTTAGGGTTTGGGGTTTAGGATTTAGGCTTTAGGGTTTAGGGTTTCGGATTTAGGGTTTAGGGTTGGGGAGTTTTGTCGTGCAAAAGAAGAGAAAGCGCCCAAGGTCCTTTTGCTTCCTCAAGGGAGTAACGCTTGTTGCCATTCCGGCGCCCCTGGAGGACTTCTTCGTCGGAGTTGGGGGCTTTAGGGGGTTTAAGCGTTTAGGGTTCAGGGGTCGAGGGTTTTAGGGTTTGGGGTTTTGGGTTTGGGGTCTAGACTTTGAGGGTTTTAGGGTTGGGGGTTTAGGGTTTCAGGTCAAGGGTTTCAGGTTGTGGGGTTTAGGCTTGAGCGGTTCAGATTTTCGTGCGTGGGGGGTTCAGGTTCAAGTTTTACGGTTTCGGTTTCGGGTTTAGGCTTCATGGTTTTGGGGTTGGGGGGTTTCAGGGGTTAAGGCAAGGTGTAGGGGTTGCGTGTCCAGGGTTGGGGGTTTGGACTGGAGGTTAGGGCTTGGCCCCCAGGCAACCCGGGTGTATGGTCTAGGAAGCTAGGTTCCCGTTTTGGTAACCCTAAACCCTAAACTGCCCTAAACCGTAAACCCTAAACCGTTTTGGTTAGGGTTACGGGTACCTGTAGAGCAACTCCTTTTTTATGAATGAGTCAGCGGCGTTAAAGCCGAACGGAAGGACCAAAAAGTTGGTAAGAAATGCTTCTTTCGCCTGAAGCTGGACATTGTACGCCCAGGGTTTAGGGTCTAGGGTGTAGGGTATTTTTTTATCGTGTGCTTGCCTATCTGCTTCGCAAGCTTTCGGAAGCTTACACATAAGTTCTTGCATCCCGAAGCCTAAATCTGTTCGGTCAAGGGACTGAGCTGAGCTCGCAGGTTCGGGTTTGGCATAGGCGTCGGTTCTGGCTGTAGCAAGGACAGCTACTGCTTCCCGGACGAGGACAGACTGGCGCTCTCTTTCAAAGGGGGCATTTCTCTCTCAGGCGGGGCTTGCTGCCCGGTCGTCCCAGGGAACCTTTCCGTATGAGGGCTATTTGCATCCCAGGCCCTAGGCATCAGTGTGAGGCTTAAGGTTAAGGGCCTTGAACCCTAAACCCCAAGCCCTCAACCTTAAACCCTAAACTCTAAACCGTCTAAACCCTAAACCAGAAGCTCTAAGCCCTAAGCCCGAAGCCCTAAAATCCTAAACCCTATGATTTAAGCGTCTATTCCTTGCTCCTGGAGCGATGCATTGGGTTTAGGGTTTAGGGTTTAGGGTTTCTTTTGCACGGCTTCAGCTGGTTGCTTTTTTTTTTTTGGTTCAGGGGTTTTTGGGTTTAGGGGTTTGGGGTTTAGGGTTCAAGGTTTGCGGTCGAGGGTTTAACGTTTTGGGTCTGGGGTTTGGGTTCATTGTTCGCGGTCTAGGGTGGCGCCGTACGTTTCTTGTTTAGACGCCGGGATCTAGGTACCGGCCTTCCACCCTTGTAAAGGCTAGAGCACAGTTGTGCACTGTGCCCTAAACCCTAAACCCTAAACCTAAACCCTAGCTGTGGACCCTTGACCCCGGGAGCCCGACATCAAATCTCGACATCTCAAGACCCAAAAGCGCGACTGTACACCTTCAACCGAACCCTCAATTCACACTCCGAAAGATGTCACCCTACTCTCTCTATACCCGAAACCCTAAACCCTGAACCCTAAACCCCGAACCGTGAACCCGAAACCTTCAACTCAAACTCGGAAGAATGGAACCCTACCCTCTCGCAGGGGCGCCCCAGCTGGATCCGGCTTCCTTCGGATCTGGGTGCACGAGATGCGCAGAGGACGGATTTAGGTTCTAGGGTTAAGGCTTTAAGGGTTAAGGGTTTAGGGTTTAGGGTTTAGGGTTAGGGCTTTAAGGGTTTAGGGTTCATCTCACACCCCTGTTAATCCAAGGACATCTTCCTTGCTTAAGTTCTGTGGAGCCCACAACCCTAAACCCTAAACCCTAAAACCTAAACCCTAAACCCTAAACCCTAAACCCTAAACCCTAAACCCTATCCTAATCCAAACCTTAAACCCTAACCAGAACCTACGGAGTTGGAAGATGCATCGCGGATGATCACTGCTGGGACTTCCCATGATGAACCTTAGGATATTGATGTACGATACGAAACCCTAAACCCTAAACCCTAAACCCCTAAACCCCTAAACCCCTAAACCCCTAAACCCCTAAACCCCTAAACCCTAAACTCGTAAACCCTAGGCCCTAAAAGGAACCTGATTATTACACCTTGGGTCTTTCTTCGGGCTCTTCATATGGATCCTAATGGTTTTGGGGTTGTAGGACCAATCTTTCTTCAGCAAGTTCCTACATTACCAGCTTTCTTTGCGTTTAGGGGTTAGGGTTTAGGGTTCCTGCCTTATGTTCATCAAGCTAGCTAGCACTACTAGCAAGAAGAGGCTTGTACAGTCTTTTGCATATTCCCATATCCTATGCCTCACAGGCCTAAGCAACAATAAGAAGACCTGTATACTTTAAGGTCAGCGCTTTGATGGAGGGCCACCCGAAGCCTCAAGCCCAAAAATTTTTTGCTTTTCAAAAGCCAAACAGGGTCTGTAGGTTTTTGTGCAGGGGCTTACCAGAGCAGCGTGTGACTTCCTCCTAACCCTTGACTAGCTTTAAGACGGGTTTGGGATTTGAGGCCTAAACCTCAACCCTAAACCCTAAGTCTGGGTACAGGGGTCGAGCGAGTTGGCTCGTCTCGAGATAGGGATGGCAGGGTTCAATTTGGGTTGGGGTTTAGGGTTTAGGTTTAGGGTCAACCCGGAACCCCAAACCCTCAAACTCAAGAGCAGCATAAGCTCTGGGGCCCGACACCCCAAGCGCTGAAGCCCAAGCCCTAAACCCCAGCCTAGATCCCTACACCTTGGACGGTCTAGGGTTTAGGGTTTAGGCTTTAGGGTTTAGGGTTTAGGCTTTAGGTTGTAGGGTTTAGGGTTTAGGGTTACATAACCCGTATAAACCATAGGAATACCCTTACAAGCTCCTCACAAGAAGCCGGTGGAAACCTTTGCACATCTTTGTACACTTCCAAGTATCCTTGTTTCACGCCCTTGCGTATCCTCATAGATTAACATGCAAAACCTAACACTTCAAGGATCATGGGATTCAGTAAGTAAGGTCAAAAGTACTTGAATCGAAGTTATAGGCACTTACAACTTACAAGTATAGTTTTCCAAAGAATGACCCTAGCTACTCAGTCCCGTGATCCTTTAAGTAGACCCTAAACCCTAAACCCTAAACCTAATGCACCCTTAAAAAGCCCTAAACCCCAGACCCTAGACCCTAAACCCTAAGCCTTAAACCTTAAACCCTAAAACCTAAACCCTAAACCCTGAACCCTAAACCCTAAACCGTCCCTCTCAGTGCCAAAGAG